ATAAATACTCAGTAATTCATAAATATTTATTTACTTACTATTTCATTCGCATTAATTTAGTCGGTGAGTATAAAGATGATTTATAAATTGGTGGAATTACTGTAAAATCATAAACATAAATACTTATTCATAAATACTCTTTCTTATTCATAAACTCATAAATACTTATTTATTTACCATTTATTCATTATCTCATTCGCATTAATTTAGACAGTGAGTATAAAGATGATTTATAAATTGGTGGAATTACTGTTAAAGCATAAACTCATAAATTCATAAATACTTATTTATTTACCGTACATTCATTATTTCATTCGCATTAATTTAGTCTGTGAGTATAAAGATGTTTTATAAATCAATGGAATTAAAATCATAAATAATCTTTCTTCTTCATGAATTCATAAAAAATATTTATTTGTTTACCATTTATTATTTCATTCGCATTAATTTAGTCAGTGAGTATAAAGATGATTTATAAATTGGTGGAATTACTGTAAAAGCATAAACATAAATACTTATTCATAAATATTCTTTCTTATTCATAAATACTCACTTATTACCATTTATTATTTCATTCGCATTAATTTAGACAGTGAGTATAAAGATGATTTATAAATTGGTGGAATTACTGTAAAATCATAAACATAAATACTTATTCATAAATTCATAAATACTCACTTATTACCATTTATTACTTCATTCGAATTTAGTCCGTAAGTATAAAGATGATTTATAAATTGGCGGAATTACTGTAAAATCATAAACATAAATACTTATTCATAAATACACTCTTTCTTATTCGTGGACTCATAAATACTCACTTATTACCATTTATTATTTCACTCGCATTAATTTAGACAGTGAGTATAAAGATGATTTATAAATTGGTGGAATTACTGTAAAATCATAAACATAAATATTATTCATAAATTCATAAATACTCACTTATTACCATTTATTATTTCATTCGCACTTAGCCGGTGAGTATAAAGATGATTTATAAATTGGCGTAATTACTGTAAAATCATAAACATAAATACGTATTCATAAATACACTCTTTCTTATTCGTGGACTCATAAATACTCACTTATTACCATTTATTATTTCATTCGCATTAATTTAGACAGTGAATATAAAGATGTTTATAAATTGGTGGAATTACCGTAAAGAATAAAAATAAATACTTATTCATAAATACACACTCTTTCTTAATCATGGACTCATAAATACTCACTACCATTTATTATTTCATTCGCATTAATTTAGTCAGTGAGTATAAAGTTGATTTATAAATTGGTGGAATTACTGTAAAAGCATAAACATAAATACTTATTCATAAATACTCTTTCTTATTTATAAATTCATAAATACTTATTTATTTACCATTCATTCAATATTTTCATTCGCATTAATTTAAACCGTGAGTATAATGATGATTTATAAATCGATGGAATTAAAATCATTAACATAAATACTTATTCATAAATACTCTTTCTTATCCATAAATTCACAAACACTCACTTATTACCATTTATTATTTCATTCGCATTTAGTTTGTGAGTATAAGATGATTTATAAATCGATGGAATTAAAATCATAAACATAAATACTTATTCATGAATATCTTTCTTATTCATAAATTCATAAATACTTATTTATTTACCGTTCATTCATTGTTTAATTCGCATTAATTTAGACGGTGAGTATAAAGATGATTTATAAATTGATGGAATTACTGTAAAATCATGCACATAAATACTTATTCATAAATATTTACTTATTTATTTCATTCGCATTTAGTTAGTGAGTATAAAGATGATTTATAAATTGGTAGAATTGCTGTAAAATCATGGACATAAATACTTATTCATGAATACTCTTTCTTCATTTACATTAATTTAGACCGTGAGTATAAAGATGATTGATGGAATTAAAATAATGAACATAGATCATAAACAAAAATACTTATAATTATCTGACAGGTACTATGTAAACACTGATGGAAAAAATTTCCGCAAATTTTTATTAAATCATGTGACAAATTCTTATTAATTTTAATATAAAAATCTGTGGAAATAATATAAAATTTTTCCGTAAATGTATACATCATACCTGCCAGATAACAAAGAAAATATTCTTTCTTTTCCATAATTACTTATTTACCATTCGTTATTATATCTGTTTAGTGACTAGTTATAATAGTTACGGTAATATTATGATTGCCGATTTTACCCCTCCCATTAATTCTAGTATCAATTCATCAACAACCCAAATAAGCATCAAGTTCCATTCGCCCGTTCAATTGTCAACTGGCAACATCACCATCTACAAAGACTCTAATGACAACATTAGACAAAGAGTTTCTGCAAACTCTACATTCTGTAAACTTAGTAATGATGGGATGGTTGTCAATATAAGTATCATTAATAGTACATTTAATGAGAACGGAACGAAATATTATGTGAAAATTGATAATAATTTTGTCAAATCTAAATATTATAATGAACCTTTAAGGGGAATTGAAAGTAAAGTTTGGCTTCTTGAATCAGGTAACTTTAAACGTACTTTTATTTGTTTTAAATGCAGCATATCAATATTATATTTTTTATCTTTTTATTCTTTTAAATCATTTAGTCGATATAGCAAATTCTTCAGGTATCGACTTTATATTTATGTATAAAATGCTTCACACGATTCTCATAATTTTTCCTTGTAGATACTGCTGCTACGGGTTTAGCATTTCTCACTATAGATGCTTCCAACAAATTTTCAAACTTATCTATAACCGACCAGTTAAACTACACTGATGCTCTATTAGATGAGATTACTGATAAAGTACCAGTTAGGCGGAAGCGTTTAAGTTCGGATTATAAACCCCAGCTTTTCGACGAATTTGGTCAAATCACCATTTCAATCCGTATAGATTTGCCAAATAGTAATACTGAAAATACTGTTCCGGGAGTATTTTCAAATTTAAATAAGATGATCCTTTACAAAAATATTACCGCTTTTTGCACTAATATGACAAATGATTTAGACTCGACTTTTGGCTTTCGACCAATAGGTGAGTTGATGACTGCATTCTAACTATTGATAGAATTGAATCACGCGACTAATTTTCCCATAATATTGTGTCCATGGGGTTTATAAATCAATGGAATTAAAATCTGAACATAAATTATAAACATAAATGCTCTTTCTTATTCATAAAATTCATAAATACTTATTTGCCATTCACCATTTCATTCGTATTAATTTAGCGCGTGAGTATAAAGATGATTTATAAGCCGACAAATTTAAATCATGAACATAAATGCTTATTCATAAATACTCCTTATTCATCACTTATTATTTCATTCGCGTTAATTTAGCATGTGAGTATAAAGATGATTTATAAATTAATGGAATTAAAATCATGACCATAAATATTTATTCATGAACACTCTTACTTATTCATAAAATTCATAAATACTTATTTGCCATTCATTATTTCATTCACATTAATTTAGGGAGTAAGTATAAAGTTGATTTATAAATCGATAGAATTAAAATTATGAACGTAAATCGTAAACATAATACCTTTTTTCATAAATTCATAAATATTTACTTATTTACCTTTCATTCATTCATTCACATTAATTTAGTATGTGAGTATAATGATTTATAAATCGATGAAATTAAAATCGTAAACATGAATACTCTTACTTATAAATACTTCTTTACCATTCATTATTTCATTCGCATTAATTTAGACCGTGAGTATAAAGATGATTTAATAAATCGATGGAACTACTTCGCTTTTCTGATCAGCCACATGGAAATAATATCAAATGCAAACCTATGATTGGTTAATTTCGTTCAAAGTATAGTTTAAAAAAAAACTAAAAATTTTTATCGATTGGTCAATCTTAATCACATGATTAATGAAGTTTATGCTGTGATTGGCTTGTTTAATTTTGGGGGAGCAGTTAACCGAGAAGGGGGGATGACGTTAACCAACTAATCAACTTTGAACCGCCTAAGGGGAATTGAAGAATATAGAATTTCTACTTAGTAAAAATTAAAAATCCGGTTAGAGCGGGTCTTGAAAACTCCGGAAATGATCTGCATCTTTCTACAAATTTTTGAAAACGACTGTAATGTCTATTGTTATATATTAGATCCTCCGGTTGATTGACCAATCGATAAAAATTTTTAGTTTTTTTTTAAACTATACTTTGAACGAAATTAACCAATCATAGGTTTGCATTTGATATTATTTCCATGTGGCTGATCAGAAAAGCGAAGTAGTTCCATCGATTTATTAAATCATCTTTATACTCACGGTCTAAATTAATGCGAATGAAATAATGAATGGTAAAGAAGTATTTATAAGTAAGAGTATTCATGTTTACGATTTTAATTTCATCGATTTATAAATCATTATACTCACATACTAAATTAATGTGAATGAATGAATGAAAGGTAAATAAGTAAATATTTATGAATTTATGAAAAAAGGTATTATGTTTACGATTTACGTTCATAATTTTAATTCTATCGATTTATAAATCAACTTTATACTTACTCCCTAAATTAATGTGAATGAAATAATGAATGGCAAATAAGTATTTATGAATTTTATGAATAAGTAAGAGTGTTCATGAATAAATATTTATGGTCATGATTTTAATTCCATTAATTTATAAATCATCTTTATACTCACATGCTAAATTAACGCGAATGAAATAATAAGTGATGAATAAGGAGTATTTATGAATAAGCATTTATGTTCATGATTTAAATTTGTCGGCTTATAAATCATCTTTATACTCACGCGCTAAATTAATACGAATGAAATGGTGAATGGCAAATAAGTATTTATGAATTTTATGAATAAGAAAGAGCATTTATGTTTATAATTTATGTTCAGATTTTAATTCCATTGATTTATAAACCCCATGGACACAATATTATGGGAAAATTAGTCGCGTGATTCAATTCTATCAATAGTTAGAATGCAGTCATCAACTCACCTATTGGTCGAAAGCCAAAAGTCGAGTCTAAATCATTTGTCATATTAGTGCAAAAAGCGGTAATATTTTTGTAAAGGATCATCTTATTTAAATTTGAAAATACTCCCGGAACAGTATTTTCAGTATTACTATTTGGCAAATCTATACGGATTGAAATGGTGATTTGACCAAATTCGTCGAAAAGCTGGGGTTTATAATCCGAACTTAAACGCTTCCGCCTAACTGGTACTTTATCAGTAATCTCATCTAATAGAGCATCAGTGTAGTTTAACTGGTCGGTTATAGATAAGTTTGAAAATTTGTTGGAAGCATCTATAGTGAGAAATGCTAAACCCGTAGCAGCAGTATCTACAAGGAAAAATTATGAGAATCGTGTGAAGCATTTTATACATAAATATAAAGTCGATACCTGAAGAATTTGCTATATCGACTAAATGATTTAAAAGAATAAAAAGATAAAAAATATAATATTGATATGCTGCATTTAAAACAAATAAAAGTACGTTTAAAGTTACCTGATTCAAGAAGCCAAACTTTACTTTCAATTCCCCTTAAAGGTTCATTATAATATTTAGATTTGACAAAATTATTATCAATTTTCACATAATATTTCGTTCCGTTCTCATTAAATGTACTATTAATGATACTTATATTGACAACCATCCCATCATTACTAAGTTTACAGAATGTAGAGTTTGCAGAAACTCTTTGTCTAATGTTGTCATTAGAGTCTTTGTAGATGGTGATGTTGCCAGTTGACAATTGAACGGGCGAATGGAACTTGATGCTTATTTGGGTTGTTGATGAATTGATACTAGAATTAATGGGAGGGGTAAAATCGGCAATCATAATATTACCGTAACTATTATAACTAGTCACTAAACAGATATAATAACGAATGGTAAATAAGTAATTATGGAAAAGAAAGAATATTTTCTTTGTTATCTGGCAGGTATGATGTATACATTTACGGAAAAATTTTATATTATTTCCACAGATTTTTATATTAAAATTAATAAGAATTTGTCACATGATTTAATAAAAATTTGCGGAAATTTTTTCCATCAGTGTTTACATAGTACCTGTCAGATAATTATAAGTATTTTTGTTTATGATCTATGTTCATTATTTTAATTCCATCAATCATCTTTATACTCACGGTCTAAATTAATGTAAATGAAGAAAGAGTATTCATGAATAAGTATTTATGTCCATGATTTTACAGCAATTCTACCAATTTATAAATCATCTTTATACTCACTAACTAAATGCGAATGAAATAAATAAGTAAATATTTATGAATAAGTATTTATGTGCATGATTTTACAGTAATTCCATCAATTTATAAATCATCTTTATACTCACCGTCTAAATTAATGCGAATTAAACAATGAATGAACGGTAAATAAATAAGTATTTATGAATTTATGAATAAGAAAGATATTCATGAATAAGTATTTATGTTTATGATTTTAATTCCATCGATTTATAAATCATCTTATACTCACAAACTAAATGCGAATGAAATAATAAATGGTAATAAGTGAGTGTTTGTGAATTTATGGATAAGAAAGAGTATTTATGAATAAGTATTTATGTTAATGATTTTAATTCCATCGATTTATAAATCATCATTATACTCACGGTTTAAATTAATGCGAATGAAAATATTGAATGAATGGTAAATAAATAAGTATTTATGAATTTATAAATAAGAAAGAGTATTTATGAATAAGTATTTATGTTTATGCTTTTACAGTAATTCCACCAATTTATAAATCAACTTTATACTCACTGACTAAATTAATGCGAATGAAATAATAAATGGTAGTGAGTATTTATGAGTCCATGATTAAGAAAGAGTGTGTATTTATGAATAAGTATTTATTTTTATTCTTTACGGTAATTCCACCAATTTATAAACATCTTTATATTCACTGTCTAAATTAATGCGAATGAAATAATAAATGGTAATAAGTGAGTATTTATGAGTCCACGAATAAGAAAGAGTGTATTTATGAATACGTATTTATGTTTATGATTTTACAGTAATTACGCCAATTTATAAATCATCTTTATACTCACCGGCTAAGTGCGAATGAAATAATAAATGGTAATAAGTGAGTATTTATGAATTTATGAATAATATTTATGTTTATGATTTTACAGTAATTCCACCAATTTATAAATCATCTTTATACTCACTGTCTAAATTAATGCGAGTGAAATAATAAATGGTAATAAGTGAGTATTTATGAGTCCACGAATAAGAAAGAGTGTATTTATGAATAAGTATTTATGTTTATGATTTTACAGTAATTCCGCCAATTTATAAATCATCTTTATACTTACGGACTAAATTCGAATGAAGTAATAAATGGTAATAAGTGAGTATTTATGAATTTATGAATAAGTATTTATGTTTATGATTTTACAGTAATTCCACCAATTTATAAATCATCTTTATACTCACTGTCTAAATTAATGCGAATGAAATAATAAATGGTAATAAGTGAGTATTTATGAATAAGAAAGAATATTTATGAATAAGTATTTATGTTTATGCTTTTACAGTAATTCCACCAATTTATAAATCATCTTTATACTCACTGACTAAATTAATGCGAATGAAATAATAAATGGTAAACAAATAAATATTTTTTATGAATTCATGAAGAAGAAAGATTATTTATGATTTTAATTCCATTGATTTATAAAACATCTTTATACTCACAGACTAAATTAATGCGAATGAAATAATGAATGTACGGTAAATAAATAAGTATTTATGAATTTATGAGTTTATGCTTTAACAGTAATTCCACCAATTTATAAATCATCTTTATACTCACTGTCTAAATTAATGCGAATGAGATAATGAATAAATGGTAAATAAATAAGTATTTATGAGTTTATGAATAAGAAAGAGTATTTATGAATAAGTATTTATGTTTATGATTTTACAGTAATTCCACCAATTTATAAATCATCTTTATACTCACCGACTAAATTAATGCGAATGAAATAGTAAGTAAATAAATATTTATGAATTACTGAGTATTTAT